ATTCGGTGTTAGTTTTTAAAAAATCAAAATGGTTGATCCAATATGGCTGACTTTTTTTTAAATCGTTCAGATTCGCTTTAAACTCTCTACTCGGGGGTTTTTTGGGTCGCTAATTACGAATTCGGTGTTAGTTTTTAAAAAATCAAAATGGTTGATCCAATATGGCTGACTTTTTTTTAAACCGTTCAGATTCGCTTTAAACTTTCTACTCGGGGGTTTTTGGGGTCGCTGATTACGAATTCGGTGTTAGTTTTTAAAAAATAAAAATGGCGGATCAAATATGGCTGACTTTTTTTTTAAATCGTTCAGATTCGCTTCAAACTCTCTACTCGGGAGTTTTTGGGGTCGCTAATTACGAATTCGGTGTTAGTTTTCAAAAAAATCAAAATGGCGGACTTTTCTTTAAATCGTTCAAATTCGCTTCAAACTCTCTACTCGGGGATTTTTGGGGTCGCTGATTACGAATCTAATGTCAGTTTTTAAGAATTCAAAATGGCGGATGCAATATGGTGGACTTTTTTTTTAATTCAACAAATTCACTTGAGATAATTTTCAATATTTTTCATTATTATTAGAAAAAAAAATCAATGCCTCACATGGTAAATAATATAGCTAAAGTGTATATATAACTTTGTGAAATGAATAGATTATAAATTTTGGACTAATTTTTATAAAATTGAAATAGGAAGAGAAAGCTAGTATTGATATTGTTTGATTCACTTAAGTTAGTGGTATAACACATTATATCTGGATGTAAATGTACAATAAAGCACCTTTATGGCTATTCTCTACAAGTTCGCTTTTATCCGGGCGATAAAATTTACAACGTCTGGCAGCAGACTAGCAGCATCCCCTGCCTGAACTGTCCCATCTACGTCTAGCATCTCTATTTCTAACGTTCATATATATATATATATATATATATATATATATATATATATATATATATATATATATATATATATATACTTATATGTATACATTCACACGCGCGCGCGCCCCGCGCCGTATCGTGTAGCGGCTTTATTCGGATATCTCGAGTTTGTTTTATGACCAAGTCTTCGCGTACATACTTATTTTCTCATAAACAGTGCGATGCGGTGCAATGCAATATGGAGTGAGTGAGTGAGTGAGAGAGAGAGAAAGAGGGAAAGAGAACGCATTTCAACCTTTGCGCTATTATATGCTGCAGGTGAGGACTATCCCACTTAAATCTCCTTCTCATAAGCCCCGCGGTGACATCTAAACAGTTTTTATTATAACAATCATATTCATTAAATGGTACTTTACAAATATACTTTAAGCACTCTTTTCAACAAAAAAAAAAAAATTTCCTTTTTTCTTTCACTCACTTTAACTGTGAGGACTCTATTTGATCTTCGCACCACCTTTTAATATATAATATATATGAAAAATTTATTGCGCACGGACTTAAGTCTTCAATTACAACGTGAATAACATATATTATTTTCTTTACAAATAACATTTATTTTAATGTAAACATACTTATTCCAAGTAACATGATAGTCAATGGGAAAATATTTGATATGAGAAAATTTTATGTCAAGTAAATTTTATTAGCTTTTTTTCTGCATTTATTTATATATATATATGGGCGCACGATTCCATGTGAAATTTACCTATGGCATTTTAAATTCGGGTGAATATATATATTTTTTTTCGTTCTTTGTAGAAAAAAATGGTATACGTATTTTTTTTTTTATTTTTTGATATGCGTGCCCAAATTTTTGAGTTGTAAATTTTTAAAAAGCTGAATTTCAGATCAAATTTTTATCCTCACAGTAATTGAAACATTTTTAAGATTTCCATTGGCTTCAATATTACGGTGAGCAAAGTATTTTCAAAATACACGTATAATTTTGGTCAACGTAATTGACACACAGAAACTGATTTAAACGCGTAGTAATAAAAAATTACGATATTAGTATTAATTTCTCAAACTTGTTTAAATAATCAATTTTTATAAAGTTTAACATTTTTTGTACACCCAAAAAAAAGTAATCTTATACTTAGAGGAAAATTCCTCTTCTAATATCCTCTAAATATTTCCTCTTAAAACAAGATTATTCAATTGAAATGTAGAATATTTTTATTCTTCATTTTAATGGAAGAATGACAAAAGGATTCCTTTTGTATTTTCCTCTTTAATTAAGATTTTCCGTTTTAAATTTAGAAGATTTAAAAAAAGGAAACGGAAAAAAATAATGTAATCGTTTGATCCCTTTCCCTGGGTATGATAGTTGTGAAGTTGTTTTTTAACCTTTCAGTTTTAATATTTCTGGTAAAATGTCAACAAAAAGAACAAAAAAATAAATTTGCTTTATTAAAAATACAGAAAATATAGTTAAATTCAAATTAAATTAATATTTTTAACGCTATTTTTAGATTTAAAAAAATTTGGATATTTCTTGTGAAATTTTACTACTCAGGTAAATAGAAATACTATAACCCCATTTTTGAATCTTTCGAATTTTTTAAATCTTTTTATTTACTTTTTTAAAAAAGTTTTAAAACGTTAAATAATTTCATATATGAAATTTTTTTCTGTCCTATAAAAAATGTTAACTTTTAAACATATCATCATGTTTTAAAATTATTTTTGCGCTGAAAATCTCGTTGATCGTTACAACTGATTAATGAAAACTTATTTTTTGTATTTTAATTATCAATATAAAATGTTGATAATTAACCAAAAACATGACATTGTTAATGTTATATTAAAAAACAATTTTTATTATTATATTGAAATGAACTATTATAATTTTACTTAATTTTAATTTAAAAATGTATTTTCTGCAAAGATTTTATTATTTTATTGAAATTATAATTATTTTATTGATGGCTTTCGACATTAAAAATAATTTTACGAGGTTTGGATGTCGACATTTAATTTAAGAGGAAAATCCTCTTAAATGAAGAATAATAATTTTGATACCAAAATTAAGAGGAAAATATGCATTTATTTTAGAGGAATCCTCTAGATTGAAAATTACTTTTTTTAGGGTGTATTATCTAAATAACATAAGCGTTACTATAATTGCGCCGTAATTAATACATTTACCCTAAAAATTAACGACTTTTATATGAACAAATTAATTGAGAAATACTAAAATAGAAGAAATACTAAAAATATTTTGCAAAATTTTTACAGTGGACCTCATAATGTTCCCTTTATTGTTTGAAAAATTTATTTTTAAAAAAAAGTTGTTTTTTTTATATTTTTGAAAATAAAATGCATTTAAGATTTCTATGAATAAAGTATAAGATCTCAGTGATCAAAAATAATAAAAAAATGTGAAAAATAATAAAAAAATTTTTAAACAAAAGAATCATCAGGTCCACTGTAAAATTTTCTGCAAAATATTCTTAATATTTCCAGATAAGTAAAATTAAAAAAAAAAGTCGAAACCAATGTTAAAAAAAATTAATTTGTTTACAAAAAAAAAAAAAAAACCTCGAAAAACTCAGATTTTTAAAAATTCATAACTAGAAAATCAAAAATTCATAACTTTGACAAAAATGAAAATATTTTTGATTTCTAAACGCATATACGATCCACTTTATTTTACTTTATGAAAAAAAACATTATATTGCAATAAATAATTAATAATTTTGTAATTACAATAATATAGAAAAAAGTATGCTTGTAATAAGATTTACAACAAAATTACAAATTAAAAAAATTAAATGAAGCTAAGCTATACTGGAAATAACTACTCAGGGGTTTTCGGAGTCGCTAATTACGAATCCGATGTCGGTTTTACAAAATTCAAAATGACGAATCCACTATGACCGACTTTTTAAATAAAAATTTTTTTCAGGGTTTTCAGGGTCGCTGATCACAAATATGATATCAGTTTTAAAAAATTCAAAATGGCGTATCCAAAATGTCGGTCAAACTTTGTGAAATTTACTGGATTTGCTTTAATTAAAGTTGTTACTTGGGGGGGGGGGTTTCAGAGATGCTGATTATAAGTCCAACCTTAGATTTTTTTAAAATTAAAAATGGCGGATCCAATATGGCGAAATTATTTTTAAAAAATTTCTTTATTTTACTTAAAACATGATACTCGGGGATTTTAAGGGTCGCTGATTACAAAGATGTTAGTTTTGAAAAATTCAAAATGTCGGATTCAACATGGCGGACTAAAATTCAAAAAATTGATGTAATTTTATAAAAATTACTAGTGGAGGTTATTTTTTTTTTAGGTTGCTTATTATGAATTTGATGTAAGTTTTTAAAAATTCAAAATGACAAATCAAATATGACAGTTAAAGAAATTTTAAAATTATTTTTTCTTTAATCTTTTTACTTCAAGATTTTTAAGGTATAGGTGATTACGAATCTGACATTAGATTGACAATGTTCAAAGTGGTAAATTTTTCCACTTTCAAAAAATTATTATTATTTCTTTGAAAATTAGCCTGAAACTCGTTAGTTTGATTTTTTCGGTGTCTATATATAATTAAAAATTGTATAGTATTTCAGTGCTTGAAAAAAAAATTAAAGCGAGGTCTATACACTGTAAAAAAATTATGGAGTTAACGTTACTGGGAGTTCGTAGTTAAATTTTTCGAGTTCAAAATCAACTCAAAAAGAGAGTTAATGATTAAATTAACTCCTTAAAACCAACTCCCTAGGCATAAAATTAACTCGTAAAGCATTAACTCCTTTTGCTTCAACTCCAAAAAAAAGTGGGACTTTTATAGCATCCCCTAGGGAGTTGAAATTCAACTCCTTTTTTTTACAGTGTATTCATTACACGGACGGAGAATTTTTATCGAGACGTCTTTTTTAATTTTTTTTAATAGAATAACAGAAAAATTTTGAAAATTTATGAGTTCTGACCGTCGCGATATGAACGCCAATTTTTCTGACTGACTTATTCCTATAGACCTCGGAATAAGACATTGTTACGTCAAAAAAATACAACTAAATTTTTTCTAATAAAATTTTTCCAATAAATCAAAATATTTACCTTAATAACGAATTTTTTAGCTTCAGGGAGATTCTTTTTAAACTAAATAGCCCTCTTTGAAGTACTTGACATCATCAGCCATCGAGGATAGAATCTGTAAAAAGAAAAATTAAAATACTGTCAGCGCTGTACAAATATATAGTTAAATCTTTAACCGGTCGGTAATATAGAAAGCTATTAAAAATTTAATTTCCAAATTTTGACAAAAATAAGTGTGGCACGTCAAAATTGAGCGTTACACGCATAAAAAAAATTTGCTGAGGCAGCGAATTATTTGCTGCCACATCAAATTACATTAGCTAATATAGGGACAGCGAACAAAAATTTTCTGTGGGATCAAAAATGTTTGCTGTGACAATAAATTTTTAAAAATTAAGACTGATATTGTTTATCGTAGCAAACTTCTTTTTTGTTGTCATAGCAAAAAATTTAGCTGTGGTTACTAATTTTGATAGATTTGATATAGCAAATATTAGATATAGCGTCTGTAATCAATTCCTTTTTTTCCGTGTAAAGGCCCATGTGCGAAATGCCAAGACTGACAATACGGCCCAACATTGGCCCAGTAATGTCTGCCGAAGTATGGCAAACGTTACTGGACCAGTACTGGCGATCAATTCGTCCCATTATTGGGCCAATATTGGTAGCAATTCTTGGTTACTCTAATTTGTCATTATTGGGCCGAACTCTCCCATTACTGGGCCAATATTGGCACCGCGTTTCAGTTACTCCAATTTGTCATAATTGGACCGAACTCTGTCCCATTATTGGGACAATATTGGCATTGTTTCTCGGTTATTGTAATTTGCCATTATTGGGCCTTCTCTGTGCCATTACTGGGCCAATATTGGCACCGCGTTTCAGTTACTCCAATTTGCCATAATTGGGCCGAACTCCATTACACTACTGGGCCAATATTGGCACCAATACTTGGTAATTCTACTTTTCCATAATTGAGACGAACTCTGTCCCATTACTGGGTCATTATTGGCTCATTAACGGTTGAAATGTTGAATTTATTTTGACAAGTCATTTTTTCCAAATTTGGAACGAATCTTGGCCCCGTAATGGCACATTAACGGCTGAAATGTTCCTCAAATGCAGCTTATCAAAACATTTTTGTGTTGAGATTCCAATATCCGCGTATAGTGTAGTGGTTAGCGTGTTAGACTTCGGTGCGTTAGGTTGCGAGTTCGATTCCCGCGAGCGTTACAAATTTTCAAATGTTTAAACAATTGTGCTTTCTGTCAGAACTTAAATTATAAATGCATAATGAATTAATTAGTTAATTAATTAATTATTATAATTTTTTTTAACTTTTTTAAACTTAGACAATACTGGGCCACTAATGGCAGCCAAGATTGGCCCAGTAATGATGTCTGATACTTGGCTGCCGATGTCCAATCGCAGTTAACACCACAAGAGTTGGCCCAATATTGTCTGCCAAGATTTGGTACCCGATTTGACAATGCTGAGCCAATATTGGCCCATGTTGGTTTTCGCACTTGGGTGTAAGCAATTCCTTTTTTTCCGTGTAAAGGGTTTAAAAAAAAAATTTTTTTAACCAAAATTTAATAATTAATAAAATTATAACTGTAATAAACAAATTGATTGAACTGATTACGAGACAATATATTGTTTCTTGAAAAGATTTGTTATTTTCAATAAGTATATATATATATATATATATATATATATATATATATATAAAGAAGCATTTGTGATTTACTGGTATAGTAAACATTATTCACAGTCAGTTAGTTGAAGTTACTTCTTGGTATACATGTAAACTGAAGTATACACAAGGAGAGAAAGTTTATTGTATTTGTAAGCTGCCTCTCAAGATGCACAATAGTCATAAAATTAAACGAATTCTCTAAATAGAATTATATTGATTTAATTAGTTATATATTTAACAATATATAGAAAATCAATTTATTTTAAAGCGAAATTTAATTTCTATTTTAATTTAATTTTATACCTACGCATTTAGGAAAATTTCTATAAATAATTTTCAATTAAATAAACAATTAATTAGTATTTTAATTTAAAACAAAAAAAAACATGATCGATAAAATTTAAAACATTTATATAATAATTTCACGATTGGAAAAAATATTTTAATTTGGAAAATAATTGCCTATAAATATTTTTTTTTGACAAAAAAATTATAATTGCACAGAAAAATATTTTCCTTTTACTAAATTGTTGATTATAAAATGTTGTTTAGATACTTTATCAACGTGAGAAAAGTAATTTTTGCTTTTTAAGAAAATGTTTCCTTTTTTTTTTCTTTTATAAAATTACTAATAGATTTTTTTTAAACGTCTTTCAATTTTTCGATCTTTTAATCGATGCAATTCAGTATGTCTATATAAAGTCAGAAACTTTGAAGCGCAAATCTTTCAAGTTACAAGAGTTTTCGAATTAATGAGACCTTGAGTAGTTTAGATTTATGCAAAGCAGAAAGTTTATGAAACTTTTAACATTTTCGTGTATATATATATATATATGTTAACGATACACACTGAATGTTGATAATTTTAATAATTGTATATAAAAGTTAAATAATTAAAACTATATTAAATAAACATAATTATTATTTTTCTATAATTTATTATTATATTTTCACAAGAAAATTAAAAAAAAAATCTGATATTGATCTTATTACACGAAATGATGAAAGTCGACACTCTTTCGAAATTGAGCATCTTTAAAAGAAGCGAAGAAGAAGAAGAAGAAGGTAGAAGTATATATATAATATTTTTAGACTGATTTATAGTCATATAAAAAAAGAGATGATTAAATATGGAGATAGTGTAAAAAGAAAAATAAAGAAATACCAAGCGAGGCGTTATTGGATACATCTCTTGACGAGAGCTCCCAAGCAAAATGCATTAATAGCAAAAGAAACCGTCCAATTCCAGGAAGTACATAAAGTTCCGGCTACGCATTGTTAGACATAATGTCTCAAGTTGGACCGTACTGGAGACGATCACAATGTTAAGCATGCGTTTTTATTAAGTGATTTCTTTTCTTTTTTTTTCTTCTTCTTACAATTAGCTTTTGTTAAGCTAAAATCACTCTCAATGATATTATTAAATTTTCTTTGAATTTAATAAAAATATTAATAAAAATTAAATTTACAAAGGAGAAAACTGGGTAAATTCCAAAAAAGCAGACAAAAGTTAAAATAAAAATTCAAAAAATTGAACTAAGTTTATAAAAAAAAATTACTTGGGGGTTTTTAGAGTTGCTAATTACAAATCTGATGTTAGGTTTTAAAATATCCAAAATGGCTGATCCAATATGGAGGTAAAAGAAATTTTAAAATCATTTTAACTGACCTCAGATTCATAATCAGCGACTCCAAAAACCAATAAATACTTTTTTAAAAATTGTTTCGAAGTTATTTAGATTTAAAATTTGACATTAGATTTTTAAGATTTTAATATCCTAAGTTGTTAAGAAATTTTAAGTAGTTTTGAATTTTGAAAATCCGATAGTCAGATTGTAAATTAATAACTTCAAAAAATTTCAAGTGTCAAAATTTCATTGAATTTAACCCCTTGACAGTCGATGGCCCATATATGTCCAAAAAAAAAGTCGTGCCACCTTTGTGATTTTGGACATATACAATGTAAAAAAAATTCAGGAGTTAACGTTACTGGGAGTTAGGAGTTAAAATTTTCGAAGTTAAAAATCAACTCAAAAAGGGAGTTAATAATTAAATTAACTCGTTAAAATCAACTCCCTAGGCATAAAATTAACTCGTAAAGCATTAACTCCCTTCGCTTCAACTCCAAAAGGGTGGGACTTTTATAGCATCCCCTAGGGAGTTGAATTTTAACTCCCCAGGGGATGCTATAAAAGTCCCACCCATTGGGGAGTTCAGATTAGGGAGTTCAACTTTAACTCCTTACACGAGTTGGAGAATATGATCCACCATTATAAAATAACTCAAAAGGGAGTTGATACTGAACTCCCTAACCTAAACTCCCTTCCACTCTTGGTTAACTCCTTTTTCGAGTTGATTTTTAACTTGAAAAATCGAACTCCCAACTCCTAGTGCTGTTAATTCCCTAAATTTTTTACAGTGTGTATGTCCACATTAGAAAAAAAAATACTAAACATAATTCGATTTGAGTATCAATGGATATATTAAGGTTTTTGGAGTCGCTGAATCCGAATTTGAGGTAAGATTTAAAAAATTCAAAATGGCGGACCCAATATGACGTCCAAAAAATTTAAAAATTGGCTAGAGTTGCATAAAAATGGTTCGTTGAATCCAAATTTGACCTCAAATTTGGATTCAGCGACCCAAAAAACCCCCAAGTACTGAATTTTGAACGAATCGAATCAATTTTAAAATTTTCCGCCATATTGGGTCCGCCATTTTGAATTTTTTAAATCTGACTTTAAATTTGAATTCAGCGACCTCAAAAACGATGATATAATATATTTTTAAAAACTGTTTTTGTTGGACCGTTTTACGGGCCCACAAACGATTTTTCTACTAGACTGCGAAGGGGTTAATAAAAACGTTCGTTTCAGAAGGCGAAAAATTAACGTTTTTTTTTTTAAACTATTTTTTTTCTGCTTCACTTTTATTCTATATAAAATTAAAAGAACATGTTACATTTAAAAAGATAATATTTTATCTTCCTATCTATCTTATATACCTTAAGAAACTAATGCATTTTAAGATGTTTTTGATAACTTAGAAGCAATTTGTAAAAAAACATCTTAAAATAAGATACTTCTTTTTGCAGTGTACGAATCCGATATTAGTTTTACAAAATTCAAAATGGCGGATCCAATATGGTGGATAAAATTTTCGAAAATTACTTGAATTTGCTTTAAAATTGGTATTTAGGGGTTTTCGGGGTCGCTGATTACGAATTCGATGTTAGTTTTTCAAAATTCAAAATGGCGGACTTTTTTAAAAAAAATTACTTGGATTTGCTAAAAATTTGTACTCGGGGATCTTCGGGGTTGCTGATTACGAATTCGATCTTAGTTTTTCAAAATTACGAATCCAATATGACGGATAAAATTTTCAAAAATTAAACGGACGTCTGCCTTAATGGATTT